CTTGTGAGACACGGTTATTCACTTAACTTCACGCGGTTAATATGGTGAATCCGTAAAATTCACTCTTTGAGTCTCTACAGCTTCGATAGCCAGTTCATGTGGTCTTGCATATGTAGGTATAGCAATGAGCGCTTAAACAGAGAGTTAACTACTCGACTGGATCTCAGTTGACAGTAGCCTGTGGACTATTCAACGGAATGGCACAGTAAGGAAAAAAAAGAATAGTGAAACTCGCCGTTGCCTGTTTGTAGTCTACTTAAGCCCCTACTGACTACAGTCCGGGTGAAGAGAAGGATGAGTTCTACCGAAAATTGGCGAGCCTCCTACTGAAAGCCAAACGCTCAGATGTGGTAGTTGTTGCAAGTGATTTCAATGCACGAGTGGGCAGGCTAAGTCAGGCATAAAGTCACAAAGGCGACACTTTCGGAATTCTAGTCGAAGGAACAGATAACGGTGATCACCTACTGCAACTGTGCTCCGATAACACTTTATTTCTATCTAGCACATAGTTCAAACATCCCGAAAGACATTATTTGATGTAGCGTCCACCGAGTTCAACTCAGCGGTGGACACAAGTAGGCCATATCGTCATCGATGAGGCGGGTTTGCGGAAGACTGCTGCTCCTTTTGGAGTACGTGTTGGACAGCGACCACGTGTTGGTTTGAGTGCGTGTCTCAATGAATCTAGGAGAGATTTAGCAACAAGACCATTGCGAAGGCAGCTCGTCGATGAAAGCACTGCGGCCACTTTCAGCGAGGAACTGGTTCAACAGCTATCGGAACAGCACTATACCACCCATTTAGAATCAGCTTGGCTCCATCTCGAGTGTGTTGTAAAGATGGCATTGAAGACTGTAGCTGACTTTCAGAGAGTGGCTAAAAAGGGTCAGTGGATATAATCAGCCTCTTCTGAATACACACTAAAGTATCCTTGCATGCTTTGAATATAATGAGGAGCGAATGCAACTTAAATATAGACGGACAAAATGTTTACACAATGATCACGAACATTGATGGACAGCCAAGGCTAAACATTTGAAACAGGCATCAGAGAAGGGTAGCATTAGACAGTTATTTAGACTTATCAAGGAAACCGGAGCGAAAATGTGGATGGTTGGTGTGACGATGGAGAAGGATGGTGATTCATTCGCAGACAAGATGGCTGGGATGACGGGAGGAACACTTAAAAGAACAGTTCAACTGTCCTCCAGCTACTGTTTTGCTGCCCACTATCCAGCCAGAGCCTGAATGAAACATTGAAATGAGAGCCCCACCACTTGCAGAAGTTGGTGAAGCTGTAGGTATCCTGGATCGAGGAAGAATAGCAAGGCCTGACTGACTGGTTCTGTAGGTATTTAGGTAAGGTTGCCAAGGTGTTTTAGTCAAGTTAACTGAAGTGCTAACTAGTGTGTGCGAGTCAGATACAATTCCCTCAGACTGGTCTCAATTACCGATTTTCCCTGTCTTGGCGAAAGGCGAGAAGTCTTCCTATAATAACGACAGATGGATCAGCCTGTCGAATTTAATGTCTAAGATTCGAGGTCTTATTATTATTAGATACCTAAGTGGCGCTTCGAAACTTGGGAGCTTGTGACCGAGAAAGCTTAAAAATTTAATCTGCATGGATATATCGACCAGACATTTATGCTCCACCAGGTTCTGGAACAGTGAATCAACCGATGCCTGACCTGTAGGCGGCATTCGACTCCGTCGATCGAGAGGTTTTATGATAATGTCTCTCACTGAAAGGAGTGCCGAGTAAGTGCATCACTTTGTTGAAGGCTGTTTGTTTTGCTTTATCCCACTCTGCTCTTTGTTTTTAGGGTCGAGAAGAAAGTCGGTCGTGAACCTTCATCCACTGAGATGGTTGAGATACGTGTTGTGCTTGCCTAGTCACCGTCTTCCTCATCCCTTAATGTTGGCTCCAGTACGTTCAGGCTGGATTAAGCCTCAGGGTGGACAGACTGAAGTATGATATAAATACATAAAACCCTTGTCTTTTGGTCTGAGCCGTGGCTGGTTGGAGTCCATGTGAAAACAAAAAATCAGTGGTTGGAGACTGTAGGTAAGATGACTCAGAATGGAGGTCAGAGGCAGGCTTATTCACATAATCTACATTGAACTAATATGCTTAGTCCAGCACTTTCTCATTCCTCTGTTTTACTACTTTTATTGCTGCTTTTGATCGATTTTCCTTCTTTTTTCGTCTTCTTATTGCTTTGCTACTTGATTTGCTGATACGAGGTGTGGCATCTTGGACTGCTGTGCAGTAATGACTGGTCCCATGTTGATATTGTTGTTGTCCTGTATCTTGACAAAATCAGCATCAAACAGTCTCAGTAATCAATTCCTTTTATGTCTTATTCGGTATGCTTCGCTTTACACCATATTCCAGTATTATCAGTAATTGAGTATATTGCTTCTGCATTTGGCTTTGCAGTCGATTCAAGAGACGGTTGTGGAAAGTTGAAAGACTAGGTGCATTCAATAATGAGTATTATTGTAACATTGATTAGTGTTCCGTGGAATTGTTAAAAGAACAACGTAAAGCTTCACGACTTTGTACGAACACCCTCATAGATTTGTTAATCTGATTTTCTGTTGTTGTAAAATTGCAACAGACCTCCACACCAATGACAATGGATTATATATATTATACAAACTGAGTAAATTGAGCAAGATTATTAAAACAAACAACTTGCCTGTTAGTGAAACCTTTGACTTGTTTTTGATCAACAAAATATTAACATGGGGTTTATCCCCATAGACCGCACTTATTAGGCATACCTTACAAGATTAAATATTTGCTGAGCATATGGTTTGTAGGAAAATTTACTCATATTTTATGATAGTTGGTACCACTAGACTTGACAAAAAAGCATTTTATCATCATCGTCCAAGTAAGAAAGGCAAATAAAATATTATCTAATTGAACCTGTGTTTCTAAAGGTCTTTTATGCGTGGAAATTTAAAATAACGCCAATTATTCAAGATAGTTTCAAGTCATATTAAAGATGGATAGCAGCTAGCAGTGGAATCCGGGATGCGCATTTCGTCTTATTTTGGACTCATCAATCGGATGTACCTGCCTCCCAGTGAGTGATATTGGTTTCACTGGGACTCGGGCACGGGAGCGATCGCTTCGAACATCAGAGCGTTATTCACTACACCACCTAGCGACGATAGCCACTTCTTGTGCGACGGGTATAGTTTTAGTGTTATTGCTTATATTATACCGTAGTTGATTAGACCGAATTGTAGTGGATAACGCTTTGGCGTTCGAAGCAACCGCTCCTGAGTCTGAATCCCGGCGGGAACAACATCACCCACTGGGAGGCAGGTACATCCAGCTGACGGGTTCCAAATAGGACGAAATGCGCATCCTGGATTCCACTGCTAGCCACTATCCATCTTTACTATAACTAGAACACAGGCAATATCGAGGCATCTGCACAGGAGCCCTTGTGCCAATAGAGACCAATCAACTCGGTCCAATCAACAACGGTATAATACAAACGATAACACTAATAGTTCCAAGTTGTCAATGAAATTAGTTTACTTAATAACTTAATCTTTCAATACTTTCTGACTATTGTGTTAGGGGTGGCTAATCCTTAAGACAACTAACTTCTAATATATAAAGTTTAAACCTTATTTTTGCACCCTTTTTGCGCCATGCTATGTTGCTTCTTTTTACTGCAGTTTAGGACACTAAGCGCTAATCGGTTCATTTTACACTTTTAATGTGCTATTTTGGCCAGGGCCATCTAATGACCTATAAACAACTGAGTTCTCACCTATTATTATTCAATGAGAGTAAATAAACTTTCAACCCCATTGTCTTCTGTTGTCAGCTGAATATCGAGCTGAGAAGTCATTGTTCTGCCTTTAATCATATCGTCTCGGAGCATTGTATCGTTATCTATAGCGCGGATCATAACACATTAGAGGAATGAAATTGAGATATATTTGTTTACAAAGTGTTTACCTAAAGGTTAATATTTTGTATTTACTGGATTACATAATTTATATTAACAGCGTCTATTATTCTTGGGTTTTCTGTTATACAGCGTTCCTGGTTAAACTATGCTCGACACTATATTGGTTGACTTACCTGTAGTACGATTTCATATGTTTGTATATTTATTCTATTGACGAATCTTGACACCCTTTCAGCTTTGATCTGTCATGTTATCTGGAGTAGTATTAGGCTGGAAGAGAATTAAGAATGCCAAGACCAACACAACACCAATGCACAAAGACATTGACTAGTCTGAGTGATAAAGGGAAGTGTGTAGACCTTGTAGATAAGGTGCTAGAATTATTAAAAGTCATTAGTTTGAGTCAGTCAGTAAAACACTTGGAAAAGAAACATCAGTTTTGTAATTGAATGCTTTCTTAATCTACCTGTGATTAATTGGTAGCAATTTATTACTCCTTGTTTACTCCCTTTCCACTCACATACTTTTTGTTTTTAATGCCTTTCTACTTGTATTAATCTTTTTCTTTTGATACTTGTAAGACCTATGGGGATGTGGCTCAGTGGTTTGTGGGAGATGACTATGAACCAGTTGGTCATGGGTTTGAACTCTGCTCCACTTACCAAGGTTTGGGCAACCAGGTAGTATCACTAGCCCTCATACGATATGTGTGGCTCATTGGCTACTGCATGAATGTGCACAATGTTGCTGAGTGTGTTTCGTTCGTTCATTCAATGCTTGTGTGAACTACGATGATTCAGATCGTTACAATATTGTACGAGATTTTACATTATTTTGTTCACTGTTCGTCTGGCTGAACGCTGAATGGAGTGTTGTTGTTTTCCATCTATTTACCTCTTGTGTAACGATACAAAGTGATGTATAGCGTAACCATAAATTTAATAACATCACATTAGTACTTTATATTATGTAGAGAGTGGTGATAATTATTCATAGCCAAATTTTTCATTATTAACCCTTGAGTTGACTTTTGGACTATTATTTTCATTTCTCTTTGAGGTATGCTTCCGCCGAATGATGCAGCACAATTGACGGATGAAGATTTGTTAACCCTTAAAAAATGTAGACAGATGGCATTTTGGAAGGGAAGTGTACCTTGTAGTGTTGGTGCTTTGTTACTTGTTTCTGCTGCTAAAAGAAATGGGTTTTTTTCGAAACGCCGTGGTCTTGAAGTGCCATGTTGTATCTTTGCAGTTACAATGGGTTATTTTATTGGGAAATTGACCTTTATAGGCAAATGTAAGCATATGTTTCTTCAGCTCAAGAATAGTCGAATAAAAGATCAAATTCTTGAATTGGAAATGCTGAATACATTTCAATCAAGTTCCAATTCGCCTATCATTGTGAATACACCTGTAGAAAAACATTCACCAATGAGTTATGCACAACGTAGAGAATATTATCAACAGCATTCTGACCAATCTATACCTACAAATTCTAATTCTAAAACACCCGAAATGGTTGAAGAAGACAAAAATCAACCTCAAACAAATTCAAATCTTGAGTATTTCGATAGAGATAGACCGGTTAGTTCATTTTATTATGATGATGACTATCGACCTCGTGAGTAAATAGCTCTGTTAACGGTAAAACTTGTATGATAGACGTCTATATTGTAGCGAATTCTCTCCAGTTACATATAGTACTAGTTATGTCATCCAATACCTTTGAGCGTATTCTTAACCATAAATGTGTAAAATTTCAATCTTGTATTAGATAAAAGGATACTTTTTCGCATACCTATCTGTTTGTTTGTCTGCTTATTTATTTTTCCTAAATAATTCAAGTTTAGAATTTGATTGTAAGTATTACACTTTGTTGGTATGCGTAGATATTATTCAATAAATGTATAGTAGTTTTTGCCTTATGCTCTGTGTGTGTGTGATGTAGTCGAATTAGTTTATTCTTAGAAGAAAGTTGAAGAATCCTATCCCTTCTTGTAGCAACTAAGTCATATTCTGATGAGTTTAACAGAGATACTACTTCTTTTCATACTTGAACATTAGTACTAGCTGTGATTTATTGTTTTTTGAAGCGTAATACTTTCATCCATGTTCATGTTACCATTTCATAAAACTACAGATGTTTCAATTTGTATGGTAGACTAGATGCATGCGTTATAGTATCTTTTCAAGCATGAACTCCACATCTGGTTGGAAATTGATATATAGTACCTTATTATTGTTCTGTGTTCAATACGTTTATTAACTGATTGTACTATAGCAGAGATTATCATGTTGTAATATGTTGGTTGTATTACTGTGACCAGTTCTCAAGTTTGATTGTGACAACTTATATGAAAGTGATTGTTCAGTATCGAATACTGCCTATCAGAGGATGTCTTGGATATTTTTTTTTAGCATAGCTGTGTATAATTAAGAAGTAATGAATAGTTTTTCTTAACTTTAGAACAGCTTGTCGTAGCGTATAATAAATGTTTCTGTTTTTATAGCAAAACCGCGTTGATATGAAGATGTAATGTACTGAGCAATATTCATACACCTATTATTGCATAAACATGGTCAGTTTCAATGCAAGTGATCTCTACAGTGTAGATCGTGTTTAGCTTTGCTTATCAACAATTATATGGTAAAATGAAAATTTAGACCGCGATCGGATTCGAATCAACAACTACCGGACCGATGCTCTACCAACTGATCTATGAGGTCCAACTGCTGACCAGATTTCCATTTCACTTCAATCACCAAGGGTTTTACCCAACTATGTGAATTCGTGACGCATTATTATCGTTTGATCGTATTCACACTGACTACCTAGTCAGGACTCCTTATCTCAATCCGGCCACGGTTCAACTTTTTATTTCACCTTCGATCATCACCCAGTATCAATAATAGTCTGCTGAACCACGGCTGTCTCAGATAGTCAAAATGATAATTATATAATACCTAAAGATCTCGAATATTATTTGAAACAGGGATGCTTTATTAAACCATTTAAACGATAGATTTTGAAACCTGTTCATTGTGTATTCTAAGTTTGGCCAGTCGATTCCGTTCACCAAGATAATTTATTGGGTTCACATGATAAATAATTCGTATATCTGTAAGTGAGGTACAGTAAGAAAAATGTAATCAGTGTGGTGAAAAGTCATAAAAAGGTAATAAGAAGGGATATAACGATAATGAAGACCGAAACGACAATTAAGAGTAAGATATAGTGTGAATGCATCTGCCCCACTGATATCATCTCTGAGACAAATTATGTAGAGTCTCTAACCACCGATTTCGGTTGTCATGCACACCTTAACCAGGAAGTCTACATTCCTCTACATGGTTCAGAATAACAGTTAAAGAATTGATAGTGTCATATCTAGGTCTGGCCAGATTCGAAATTTTCCAGCCTAAACCTACTTCGATGAGATGGGAAGTGACTGAGTATTCGTAAAACATGTCACAGCCATTTGAGTTTGTAAAGGTTTGCAACCTCATCTTGTAGTTTGCCTGTTTTGATCAAAACACTAAATCTGGGTCATGTTATTTAAGTGACGTTTTCAGGGTACAGGTTGTACTACTAATGGGACGGTGATCGAACACCTACAGCTTTCTCGTGTCCACTGCCTTAATTGTCGTATTTCACAATGAAGAGCGAACAACTCTACAGTATATTCGACTCAGTAGTAAACAGTAGGAAACCACGCCGACACCGTGAAAGGGAATAAGTTCACGAGGTCCATTTGAGTCTCTTATTCGGGTAAGGTGTTGTCCGTGATAGATCCATCAGGGCTGATCAAACTCACGAAAGTAAAGTGGTCAACGCATCGAATTACTTCACTCTGTTGTCAGACGAGGCACTAACACAGACCAGTCCCAAGACTACAATCTGCATTTGAGTGGTGACATGCATCTCAGATATTCTCAAATTCACAGTTAAGCTGTCCAGAAGATTCCGTGTCTTCACCCAACAAAACTATGTCAAATGCGTACTCTAGGTGTACCATGGAAGTCTCCCACAACACAGCTAATCCTAGCAGAGCTGGACGAAGAAACGGAGACCTTCACGTGTACGTCCACGAAAAGAATAAATACGAATGGTGAAAATGAACGTCCTTGACTTGCACCATCTGATGTACTCAACTTACGTGGTAACTCACCATAAGTTCTGACACATGCACACCTTCAACAAAGTAATATACTGACCTGACAACCCTTTCAGTGGATGACACTTCCATAAGACTTATCGATCGACGGGGCGGAGTGCTGTCTTCAAGTTGAGAAATACAGCTGGTAAGTGTGTGTTTTTGTTGCAGAAGCTGTTAGAGGGGGAATGTCTGGTTGATACACTTGCGCACGGTCAGGTCTGAGACTTGTTTTGTTCCCTTAGGTTTACTTTTACTGAGCCCTACTCCCAAGTTTAGTGATTGTAGGACCTAGAACCTAAGATAGTGTATTCATCAAACTGATTCCTATGCGGTTATCACGAGAGGACTTTCCTTCATACTTGAAGCCTCGGATAGTCATTGTTTGAGTCCAGTAAGAGGTGATCATACCTGATACTGATTCGCCAGCTAACGCAATTTAAACCGACCAATAATCGTCGATCACCATCCCTGAATTCTTCGAGTACTCAGTCATCTGGCTGTGTTGCTGTTCCTCCTTCTAGGTTACTTACAACCTTCTGGACTTCTGCAAGAGTTGAAGCGCCTATGTCAATGTTGCATCCCTGATCGGCCTGTATAGCTGGCAACAAGACGGTAAATGGAAACCAGTTGAACTGACCCTCGAAGTTTTGCGCTCGTTGTTGCAGTAATCTATGCAAGTTCATCGTTGATAACTGTTTAACGATTCTTCTTTGAAAGTATCCTTAGTATTTACATCCTCAAGCTACTGTTTGAATGATCTTTATGCTGTAGTTTTTCTGCATCCGTTTAGGGGCTGATGTGAGCATAGTCGAACCAACTGGTTATATATTTTCAGGTATGGGATCCAAAAACAGCGGCAATCTTCCACCAACTTTATTCGGCAATATGGTCGACTTGCGTCCGGCATTGTATTGAGGTTGGTGGACGCACATCGAAGAGTGTTTCTCCTTATGTTTTAAGTTGGTGTTGGCTAGAAATCCGTGGCTTCTTGAACACAGTCGCAGCATACCTCCGTATTCCTTTTCTTCGGCTGGGATTCTGAAAGTGCCACTGGGAGCCTTCCTATCTGCTTTAGCCTATACAGTAGTTCGCTTAAAGCACCTTTGCCGATAGCTGCATATAAACTTCTGACTTTTATTAGGTGCCTAACCAGTTTTCGGTAGAACTCATCTTGACTGCAGTCAGGGAATGCGTAAGCAGATGTTACAAAGAGACAACCGCCAGTTTTACCATTCTTTTCAGTCCCCACTGCACCATTCATTTAATCAACTCATAGGTAGCTGTAAACCACAATATAGGAAATTATGTTTTACCAACACCAAGAAGTCCTCAAGCACTAACTAGAATCTCCAGAAATGCGAAGAGTTAACTGTTATTAAAACTAACAAGAATCATGTTTTGTCGTGAATGTGTATCTGAATATCTATGGTATTATGACTTCTCTTCAACTGTATAAAGTGACAATTGTGTACAAAGCAAAACCAGTCAGACAGAAACGACTGTAATTGATGCAAATCACTTAACTGTTATAAAGGTGTGAACATTGTTTAGATTGAGCACCCTACTGGAATGCCAAGTATATTCAATATCTGCTTTCTGAACCACAATTGTTGCTGTAGAACGCAATCACCTTCATCATTCTTCTTCAGGTCATCTCACTCTTCCCAATAAAGTCATGCATTTTACATACCATACTTGCTCATTTGGATTGAACTATGACACAAAGAGATGACAACAGTCAGTTGTCAGGAAGTGCTTTATTAGCTATTGTTGTTTTTGTCAATAGGTGAGTTTACTCATCTTTTTGAGAGCTGGAGTTGCAGTCACATTTAGGAGCCATCAGATTACCTATGCACGTCACATATTGGTCTTGATGAGAAATATGGTACTCACACGAGTGAGTGGTAGAGATAATTTCATGTTTCACGCTTCACCCTATGTTACCGGTTACAACGCCGGTGCATTTACAACGCATTTTGGCCTAATCAGAACAGAAGTACATGGTGGACTACATCGCATAAGATTTTCTAATGCGTAAGTATTAATTCAATCCATAAGACGCATATACTCCACTTTACAGCTGAAAGTAAATATTATTTCAAAAGCTGCGAGCACTTATCTGCAGCTTTCCTGAACCCAAACTCCTGTAAGATTGTTGACAACATTAAGTGTTTGCTCAAACTCCAAGGACTAAAAGGCGTGACCCACTAACTGAAATAGAGTATCCAGACCAGTGAGCCATTGCTTCATCGAACAAACAAACTCACTTATCGTAATCCTCAACTGCTGTCGTCAACTTGTTTGGCTTGCGGACTAGACATAATCCTTGGTGGAATCAGTCAAAAGACTATCATGTTATATCTGTGATCTTTAAGTTCATTGCCACCTCATCTGGTTCATCTAGCCATTGGCGTGATGCAAAGGTTACAACAGTAATATTCTGTCGAATATTTATATTGAATACGAAAACGCTATTGACCGATGACCATTGCTGACAGAAGCCTATTTGATGACAATTCACCATTGTGAATATCTGAAGAATGATACAATAAGACCAGTCAGCGTTTTCAGAATGAGGTGTGATCATTTGATTTGATTTCATGAGATTTCCGCGGGTTCTCTCCTTCAGTTGTGTCTCTACTTCATACCATAATGGAGTACTTCATAAGAATGGATACATAATGCAATCTGAAGAATTGTTGCTCTCAGTTCAGCGATCTTCAGGCTGTTGGCACACAAAGGAGTGGGGTGGTGCAAGTCTAAATTTGTTAACCTGCTACCACACATTCTCACTTCCACATTCGAGTTCCTCCCTGAATGAAATCCGACTTTGAAGAATTTGAATAACGACAAACAAACGGTAACTCCACCACCTGCAAATGACTATGGTGTGCTTATACTGACTGGAGATCAGTAGACCGTATTGATGAATGGATGTGACACTGGCTGGTGTTTCACAATTCAGCACGAATAGTCGCTATGAGGATTTGGTCAAGATGATGGAAAAGCGAAACACTCAGAGAACTGTTTGCAGGAAAGCAGACTGATGATGAGAAGTTGAAGGAACACAGTCTCAGGATATCTCGTCTGCCATTCCCGATGAACAAAATGTATACAGCAGATGCACCGGTCATATGTATTCCATCTATGACCTACTCTCCATATCTATAGCTCTTGGTATTCCTCACCCCCAGACTCACGATAATCCCCTCCACTCTTCAACTTTCACTCTCTCTTCCTGATTTACACACATGTCAGAACATGTAAGTGAGAAATTGTCAGTGCCTACTACTTTTACTTTCCACCCATTTTCTGATGTCTCCCAAACTCACTCGCCAGATGATATCATCATACGAACGGTGTGAATCACGGTCGACTGCGTAAATCTCTGTGACAATGAAGTTAATCACTATAATCGTGATCGTTTTCGTCATCCTTTCAGCTTTGTGCCATCATCAAGTGAAGTTGGAGCAACCAGCTATTTAGGCATAATTCCATGATGGACGGCACTCGTGATGGTAAAGAGTGATATATTCTGGAAAAAGCGCTTTCACCACATTTTGTGAGTCTCCAGATTCCTAGTTCGTGTATGTCGTGGTCTGCATTTATTGCAATCACTGCATTATTACTAAGATAATTCGTCTGCCCCAGTGGAATTTTTAGTGGGTGAAGGTTTGTATGGCATCATTTAAATGAGTCTCCCTATATTCAATATCATTTCACTCTCTGACGAATTTTCCTCCCTCTGTCACGATATATCTGCACTGATGACTACACTTCATATTCCACACTCATCCGTATTGTTCCACCTCAGTGTTCCCTCCCACCTTCAAGGCAGGAAGTGAAGACTCTCGGTTTTGGTCTTATGGTATGTTTTCAGATTCTCTATTACAATGAAGATATTTTCTGTTGTGATATGACTTTCGAAGTGAACTTCAGGGGTAATGCACAATGACCTAGGATTCACAGTGAGTCATAATTTATAGATCACAGTGGACGTTCGATTGGCCGCAGCTAAAGTTTTGGGACACTCAGCATTCGTGAAAATTTTACTAAGATAAGTGTCGATATGTTCAACATCTTATACACATCATTTGTTATATTTGAATCCGAAAAATATGCACAAGTGTCAAACCCTTATCTACGATGAGGCTCAAACCTCCTAGAGAGATTTTGGAGGGCATCTGCTCGTATGATCTCTGCCATGGCAAACCTGATCTGTGAAGAACGACTTCATAATTTGAACCTCTGATCTTTATCGAATTGCAGATAGAGGTGAAATCTAGTCGTGCCATACATGAATTTTAGAAGTGAATTTGAACTTGATCTATCATCTCACTTATTTTTGGGTCGATGTACCCCAGAAAACATGGCAGGAGAGCACGAAAGCAAAGGAGAAACTTCATCAACGTACAGTGCTGGTTTCCGCGCCGATTCGTCAACGCTTGGAGTCGACTCCCCCAGAAAGTGGTATTTGTTTCATCAGTTCGTTCATTCATTTTTACCTTGGTTCATGGGAAGATTGGATAAACAGAGAGGTCTACTGGAAAGGCATTATTAGAGACTCATAATTTTCTCTCCTCAAGCCACAGATAACGTCTGAAATCCATCTACTTCACGTCATGTGTCATTCACTTTTACCGATAATCCAAAGAAAGATATTTGAGTAAACAAAAAATGTTGAGGAAGTCAATTCAGAAAAGTCCTGTGTGAACGTTAGGGATGGTATGAATTATTGCCGGGATCCAATTAGAAATAATTGATTATCTAAACGAGTTACCGGCGTACATAATGCAGTAAGGTGATAGTTTAATCAAACAATAGTGAGGTGTCTGTCTATAAGAGTTCGATGAAACAAACAGACAGAAAATTTGGGGAATAAAAGCTTGACACAATTTTACTGATGTTGAGAGAAGAAATAGATTAGGATGATGCGTAGAAATTAGTTCGGATTATTGGGATGAAGGGATATCTCGAGGATAAAATTACAAAATTAGATTGTCTGCAGTAGGATGCTAGGAAATGTGTACCTGGCAAATTGGGTCCCGAAAGTTGTAGCGGCACTACGTGCATTTTCGCACACGAAAACCAGGTTGTTTGATCCTTGGAGGTGCACGCTAGGACGGAAAATGAAATTGTTAGAGCAGCGGCCGACACAACTAGCCCCATTGAAGCGGTCAACTTGCAGAAAACAACAGCAGCTGACCAGTTTGGCTGATTTCTGTTACAGACTCTGTGTCACCACTGGGAGGGAGGAGAAAGTAATATGTAATTTAACGGCATTACGAAATATGCATGCTTCATAAGACAATATCCACTAAGAACGATACAATTAAATTGCAAGGGAACGTAGGACGGTGTGCAGCTAACCTCTGAAGAAAGGAAGTAAAAGAAATCCTGATGTTTCGAGTCAAAGTGTGCTAACTCATTTCATTTCAGGATAACCGGCGGTGAACAAAATAAGTGCAGTCAAGTCGAGGGAAACACGCACATAGATACACAACAAAGTGCTATTCTCGATTGTCACACACAGATTTATTGGCGAGGTTAGTGAGCG